AGGAACAACCAGTACCAGCCACTGCAAAAACATACCAAATGGTAAAGACCATTGACACAATGAAGAAACTTTATCAACGAATGGGCAAAACAACCAGCTAGCATCAAAATGGAAGGATCAAATTCACACATAACCATATTAACCTTAAATGTAAATGAGCTAAATGCCCCAATCAAAAGACACAGACTGACAAATTGGATAGAGTCAAGACCCATCGGTGTGCTGTATTCAGGAAACCCATCTCACATGCAAAGACACACAGACTCAAAATGAAGGGATGGAGGAAGATTTGCCAAGCAAATGGAGAGCAAAAAAATCAGGGGTTGCAAAACTAGTCTCTGATAAAATGGACTTTAAACCAACAACGATCAAAAGAGACAAAGAAGGGCATTACATAATGGTGAAGGGATCAATGCAACAAGAAGAGCTAACTATCCTAAATATATATACACTCAATACAGGAGCACTCAGATACATAAAGCAAGTTCTTAATGACCTATAAAGAGACTTAGACTCCCACACAATAATAATGGGAGACTTTAACACTCCACCGTCAATATTAGACAGATCAATGAGACAAAATTAACAAGGATAACCAGGACTTGAACTCAGATCTGGACCAAGCAGACCTAATAGACATCTACAGAACTCTCCACCCCAAAACCACAAAATATACATTCTTCTCAGCACCACATCACACTTATTCTAAAATTGACCACATAGTTGGAAGTAAATCACTCCTCAACAAATGCAACAGAATGGAAATCATAACAAACAGTCTCTCAGACAACAGTGCAATCAAATTTTAATTCAGGATTAAGAAACTCACTAAAAGCCACACAACGACATGGAAACTAAACAACCTGCTGCTGAATGACTACTGGATAAATAATCAAAGATGTTCTTTGGAACCAATGAGAATGAAGACACAACGTATCAGAATCTCTGGGACACATTTACAGCAGTGTCTAGAGGGAAATTTATAGCACCAAATGCCCACATGAGAAGTGAGGAAAGATCTACAATTGACACCCTATCATACAATTAAAACAACTAGAGGAGCAAGACCAAACAAATTCAAAAGCTAGCAGAAGACAAGAAATAACTAAGATCAGAGCAGAACTAAAGGAGATAGAGACACAGAAAACCCTTCAAAAAAATCAATGAATCCAGGAGCTGGTTTTTTTTTAAAAAAGATCAACAAAATAGACCACTAGCCAGACTAATAAAAAAGAAATGAGAGAAGAATCGAATAGATGCAATAAAAAATGATAAAGGGGATATCACCACCAATTCCACAGAAATACAAACTATCATCAGAGATTACTAGAAACACCTCTATGCACATAAACCAGTAAATCTAGAAAAAATGGACAAATTCCTGGGCACTTACACCCTCCCAAGACTAAATTAGAAAGAAGTTGAATCCCTGAATAGACCAATAACAAAGTCTGGAGTTCAGGTAGCAATGAATAGCCTACCAACCCGAAAAAGTACAGGACCAGATGGGTTCACAGCTGAATTTTTACGGGACGTACAAAGAGGAGCTTTGTGTGTCTAATATGTACAAAGAAGACATTTATGCGGCCAGCAAACATGAAATATGCTCATCATCACTGGCCATTAGAGAAATGCAAATCAAAACCACACTGAGATACCATCTCACTCCAGTTAGAATGGCGATTATTAAAACATCTGGAGACAACAGATGCTGGAGAGGATGTGGAGAAATAGTAAAGCTTTTACGCTGTTGGTGGGAGTGTAAATTAATTCAACCAATGTGGAAAACAGTGTGGTGATTCCTCAAGGATCAATCTAGTAATAGAAATACCATTTGACCCAGCAATCCCATTACTAGGTATATACCCAAAGGATTATAAATCGTCCTATTATAAAGACACATGCACATGTACATTCATTTCGGCACTGTTTACAATAGCAAAGACTTGGAACCAACCCAAATGCCCATCAGTGATAGACTGACTAAAGAAAATGTGGTACATATACACCATGGAATACTATGCAGCCATAAAAAAGGATGACTTCATGTTCTTTGCTGGGACATGGATGAATCTGGAAACCATCATTCTCAGCAAACTGACACAAGAACAGAAAACTAAACACCTCATGTTCTCATTCATAGGTAGATGTTGAACAATGAGAACACATGGACGCAGGGAGGGGAACATCACACACTGGGGCCTGTTGGGGGTTGGGGTGGGGCTAGGGAAAGGATAGCAGGGAGTGGGGGCATTGGGGAGGGAGAGCATTAGGATAAATATCTAATATAGGTGATGGGGGTTGGATGTAGCAAACCATCATGGCGTGTGTATACCTATATAACAATCCTGCACAATCTGCACATTTACCCAGAGCTTAAAGTATAATAAAAATAATTAATTAACTAATTAAATTATCTGGGCATGGTGGTGTGCTCCTGCAGTCCCAGCTACTCAGGAGGCTAAGGCTGGAGGATTGCTTGAGCCCAGGAGTTGAAGGCTGCAGTGAGCTATGATTGTGCCACTGCAGTTCAGCCTGGGTGACAGGGCAAGACCCTGTCTCATAAAAAATAAATAAATAAATAAGTAGAAATTATGTTTTTATAGAATAAAACTTCATTTCTTAATTCAGTTTTTTCTCAAACTGGGGCTTGTAGATCTTTTTTTCCTTTATGAGGTGTTGGTGCGTTCCTAAAATTTGAGTAATGTTGATATAACAGAAGGGACATGGGCTTTGAAATCTGATGGATGCATGTTCAAATTCTGCCTCTCCTACATACTCCCTGGGAGAACCTGGGCGAGTCACTCAGCCCACTGAGATGACATTTGTCATCTGGAAAATGGTGATAATAGCACAATCTTGCTATGAGGAGTGTATGTAAATGTAGGTGCTCAGCAAAGGTTCCCTCCCATCCTCTTGTCCGTTCTCTTCTCCCCTAAAGAAAGAGGAGAGGAGTTATTCTGCCTTCTTGAATGATAACAAAGAGAAATTCGACTGAGATATTCAACAGGTTTATACTGGAGACTCAGTGATTCAGACAGAGATGGCGTGGTAGACTGAATAATGCCCCTCAACTGCTAAATATAGTCACGTCCTAATCACTGGAACCTGTGAATGTTATATGGCAAGAAAAAAGGATGTTGCAGGCATGATTAAATTATAGATCTTGAGATGGACAGATTATGCTGGATTAGCAAGGTGAACCTTAAATAAGAGGGAGGAAGAGGAAGATTGGACATGGACAGAAGAGAAGAAGGCAATGTGGCCAGGGACTCAGAGACTGGAGTGATGTGGCCACAAGCCAAGGAAAGGAGCAGCCACCAGAAGCTGGGAGAAAAGGCGAAGAGTGAATTCTCCCCTAGAGCCTTGGGAGGGAGCTCTGCCCTGCCCGCACCTTGATTTCAGCTCTGTGAAACTGACTTCAGGCTTCTGTCCCCAGAACCGTGGGAGAATATATTTGTTTTAGGTTTTCACATTTGTGGCAATGTCTTACAGCAGCCATAGGAAACTAATACAGACAGTTGCTCATGAATGCAAATGGAATAATGAGATAGGGTGGAAATGATTGTGCCCACTGGCAGAAATTTAAGAACTCCCGAGCAAACATTTTGATTCTGTTGTCTAGTCCTTGGCTCCAAGGCCAAGAGGTGCGTAGAAGAGAAAACCCTTTCTAATAATATAGAATTTTCACATGCTTGAAACCTTTAGTGGGCCGTACTGGAGGTTGGTTTGTTTGTTTGTTTGAAGTGAACTAGAATAGAATAAAAAGTCTGACACTATGCTGTTAGCGTAAACCAAGGACTTGCCCACTCTTTCCTATGTGAAGCTGTTGCACATGGTCTTCCATGCACTCTCCTTTCTCCTCTTACCACTCTTAGTTAGGTGGGTGCTTACATTCTCCCATAGCATCTTGTGCTTTCATTATTATGGTCCTTATCACCCTGCAATACATTATTGCCCATTTATTCCACAAGTGTTCTTCTGGTCCTACTGTGTCTCAGGCACTTTACTGGGTGCTGGTCCTTTTGAAGGATCTCCTCCTTGCACAGTGATTCCCCTAAGGAATAGGTTTTTATTGTTGTTGTGTTGTGTTGTTTGTTTGTTTGAGATGGGGTCTCGTTCTGTCACCCAGGCTGGAGTGTAGTGGCATGAACATCGCTCACTCCAGCCTTGACCCCCTGGGCTCAAGCAATCCTCCCACCTCAGCCCTACTACCCAAGTAGCTAGGACTATAGGCACACACCACACACCACCATGCCTGGCTAATTTTTAAATTTGTTGTAGTGACAGGGTCTCCCTATATTGAACTCGTGGGCTCAAGAGATCCTTACACATTGGCCTCCCAAAGTGCTGGGGTTACAGGCATGAGCCTGGTCCAGGAAGAATATTTTAATGTCTGTATCTCAAGTGCCCCAGGCAGTGCCTGACATTCCAAAAGGTGCTTGAATTGCTATGAATGGTTTTAGAATTATTCCTTTTTTGTTTGTTTCTGATTTTGTTTTTTTGTTTTTGTTTTTGTTTTGAGATGGCGTCTCACTCTGTCGCCCAGGCTGGAGTGCAGTGATGTGATCTCGGCTTACTGCAACCTCTGCCTCTAGGGTTTAAGTGATTCTTCTGTTTCAGCCTCCTGAGTAGCTGGGACTACAGGCATGTGCCACCACGCCCAGCTAATTTTGTATTTTTAGTAGAGATAGTGTGTCGGCCAGGCTGGTCTCAAACTCCTGACCTCAGGTGATCCACCAGCCTCGGCCTCCCAAGGTGCTGGGATTAGGCATGAGCCACCGTTCCCTGTCTAGAATTAGTCTTTTAAACAATTTCAAATGGTGGTTGGGGGCAAGTCATCTGGTGTGCCTGTTAGGTGTGGGACAGGACATTGCTTTATGGGAACTGGCCTGACAGGCATAGGTTTTCTAGAAGCGTAGTCATAGAAATCCTCTATTTGGGCTTTTAAATTGTAGTGGTCCCTCACTAAAGTTGGACACATTTTCTCTCTTCTCCAGGTCACTCTTCTGCCATACCATCCTGGACTGGCTAGAGGAGAAATTACTTGACTGATGAAGATATGGAAGGAGTACTTTGTGAACATTGGAAGCAGGCCTAATTGTAGGACCAGCTGGAGAAGATACCCTAAAATAAATTTCAGTCACACAGGAATTTTAAAAAGAAAAGAATGCCTTCCTTTCCCAACTTACGGTCTTCTGCTAACTTATTGTAATATCCTCATGGTCTTAAAACATCAAACATGAGAGCCAAATTATGTTCAGCGGAGTCTTAGGCAACAACCACATTATGTATAATATAGACCATGATATCATGGCTGACTCAATATAATTACACCCTTGCTCATAAACCCTATCTTTCTCTCTAGGTATTCAAAGCACATGATAGACATGATCTTGTTGCTTTTCCCAACACATTTGCCAGGTAGACAGGAAGCAGGTATCATTATTGTCTTCGTCTCAAGTAGATAAAGATAGCTTTCCTGGGAACTATTTGCTCAAAGCCCCATTGGCAATAAGAACTACTGGACAGAAAATGGCTGGAGTCCTAATTTAAAAAACAGACTTCCTGCTGAGGCAACTTCAGGTCACAATACTGGGATATTTCTAATTTCAGGGATTCTTAAATGGGGGCACAACGGGTTTTTTTCCTTTATTTGTGGGTGTTTAATAAAATCAAGGCAACTATTGGCACTTTCTGAGTGTTCAGCATCTATGGGGAACTTCAGCAAGTATTTTCTTTCCACGATGGCAGTGGCATTACCAAGCATAGCTCAATGAAGTAGGACTGGCAACAAAATCTGGAACATCAATATGATTCTACAACAATGTTTTGCCATTAGAGGCAATTTACTATCATTGAAAACATTTAGACTTGTAGAGGCCTGAGTTCAAGTACCAGCTCTGACATTAACTTGGTTGAATACTTTTAAACAAGCTCTTAACCTCTCTGGTTCTCATTTTTCTTGTCCACAAAATGGGAACAATATTTAACTTATTCGAAGACACTAAGTACAAAAAGAGATCGTATATATGTTTCATAAACATTGAAATGCTATAGAAACAAGGCATTGCAAAGATTGGACCACTACAATGACAGGCCTTAATACAAGTTATATTTTCCATCAATGGGTCCTATTTCCAGTGGGTCATCTATGCAAAGAACATGTTTCAAAACTGTAAATTAGGCCAGGCACAGTGGCTCATGCCTGTAATCCCAGTACTTTGAGAGGCCAAGGTGGGCATATCACCTGAGGTGAGGAGTTGAAGACCAGCCTGGCCAACATGGTGAAACCCTGTCTCTACTAAAAATACAAAAATTAGCTGGACCTGGTGGGCATGCCTGAATCCCCACTATTTGGGAGGCTGTGGCAGGAAAATCGCTTGAGCCAGGGAGGCGGAGGTTGCAGTGGGCCAAGATGGCGCCCCTGCACTCAAGCGTGGGTGACAGAACAAGACTCTGTTTAAAAAAAAAAACAACAAAACTGTAAATTATTATCTCCCTGGAAAATCAGGAGAAAAGAAAATTAAGAGGAGAAAGGAGGCCTGGGGCTATAGGTCTGTCAGAATTTAAGGAATGTGACAAATATGAACTCCATGCCTGTGTGGTGGAATTCAAGTCTAAAGGCACTGTACAGTGCAGGAAGTTTGGAAAGTAAAGCTTTCCTGTGCCCTCTGGAGTGTGGACACTTTGTCCACAATCTACAAGGTAAAGAATTCCATAGAAAGTATGTATTTAATTAATTGTAACCAGAACTTAGTTGTGGGTAAGCCAGATTCTGTTGTGCAACGTTATTGCTGCTTCAACCTGGATATGAGCATACTTTAACCCAAGCACGAACCCACAAGATTTGAACTCCTAATCTTTAAAACACAAGGCAGCTACTTTGACCACCAGGCGTCCCGATTCTTGTTTACCAGGACTGGGAGTTCTCATCAGACAGAGTCCCATTTATTCCATGACCCTGGCAGAATAACACTGAGAAACCCAAAGGCATATCCATTTTGAAATAGTGTCTGTGGCACCGAAAGGATCCTGGAGCTCTGAATCAGCCCCTTACCTCATGGCACAATTTACAGGCTTGCAGAGTTCAATGAAAATCAGATTGGAATGCAGGGACTTCTGTTTTTCTATAATCACATGTTGTGATGAGAAGAAGGGCAATTTTCTTGAACATTCCTCTAAAACCAGTGCACTTGCAGTGGTTTTTTTTCTTTTTCCTTTCTTTTTTTTTTTTTTTTCTTTTGGTTTACAAAACTATCCTAAACAGACCCAGGGCTCTCTGCCATCTCCGGTGCCAGCGCTCTGGGCCACAGGGGCCGTTTGTCCAGGGAATGTAATTAAAATAAATAATTATTACTTTCACTTGGCACGTGTGAGCCTCTTCTCAAAGCAGTCAGAGAGTGAACTTTAATATTTCGTTCCTTCTCTGAGGTAATTTAATGATCACATAAGAAAAATGATTCTCTGAAAATATAATCTTAGAATTTGGCTCCACCTCCAAGTTGAAAGAATTTTGTAAGGAAAGAATGAAGAAACACTCAAGAAATATGTCTACTCCTCACATTTGACTGTGAAAAGTCTATATACTGTGACCTGAAAAGGAAAGATAAACATAGTCCATGAAATTCTGTGGCAAAAGAAATGAAAATGTCCTTAAGAAAAAAAAAAAAAATGGAATTCTCTGCAGGCTTAAAGGCAACCTTTGCCAAAATCTGCTTTCTGGAAACTTCCCTCTAGACCTGGCTGCTGCAGGACAGCCTTGGATGCAGGACAGAGGCTTGGAATATTGTGGTTTGGAGTGTGTGAATGTTAAAATCAGACATTGAGCTTTTTCTTTATGACAACAACAAGCCTTTGGTCTTGGCTATATACACGCTAGGTTTCCGGTACTGCCTTGTTCCTTTTTGTGGAACTAGGAGGTCAGAACTACTGAGGGGATCTTGATATTTTCCAGTTTGTTTGCTTATTGACCACTGTTCTTCCCTTTCTTACAATGTCATTGAGAAGCTAATGGGCTCCATTTCCACACTGAAATTAAGAAATGATGGAGCAAATTTGAAGTGATGCCTGGAAGGCCACACAGCAAGTTGGAAGAAGATTCTGGATGACAAATTTGAAATTTCCATGTCCTCCCCAGATCTGTAAATCCAGTCTGCTAAGCTAAGTTTTTCTAAGACATTGAGGCCCAAAGATGCATACTGAACCACAGGCATAAGGTGTGACTTCAAAACGAGAGTCAACACTATGCAGAGTGGCTAGAGACAGAATGCTGTAATAAAATAATTATTACCTGCCGGGGCAGAGTCAAGCTTAAAATCATCTTACAGTAGATTATTCTAATTTATAACATATTACATATAATTCAGATAGAACAGGGTAATGTGCAACCTAATCCCATCTATGAAAAGATTGCAGAACAAACAACAAATATAAAATATAGGAACTGTGTCTCATGTTGCATGTCATATGTCACATACATAAGAAGAATTAAAAATATCAGAATCAATTATTATTCCATCATGGAGAACTCTTTTCAAGAAGCACCTACTGAATTTGGAAGTCATTCTCTTTAACAAAAAACAGGTAGTCTGTGTAACATACCGTATTAAACAGCAGCAGCAACAACTGAAAAAGCTGTTCCCAGGCAAAGGCACATGCCAAAGTCATTTTTATGAGATCCTAGAGTTAAGCAGATCTCACTGTGTTTCACTGGAAGGTAGAATTATTCAAGAGGAAACTGTGAATGTGCATAGCTAGAACCATAGACTGTGACAAAGAGCCTACTTACAGGAGCAGAGATGGGCTGATCAATTGGGAATGCTCTGCAATTGAAGGCATACCTTGTTTAACTTCTTTTTTTAGAGTTGAGGCTCTCACTGTGATGCCCAGACTGGTCTTGAACTCCTGGGCTCAAGAGATCCTCTTACCTTGACCTCTCAAAGTGCTGGGATTACAGGCATGAGCCACCATGCTCAGCCCGTGGATCACCTAAGGTCAGGAGTTCAATAATCAGCCTGACCAACATGGTGAAACCCCATCTCTACTAAAAATACAAAAATTAGCTAGGTGTGGTGGCTAATTAATCCCAGCTACTTGAGAGGCTGAGGCAGGAGAATCACTTGAACCAGGGAAGTGGAGGTTGCAATGAGGTGAGATTGTGCCACTGCACTCCAGCCTGGGCAACAGAGCAAGGCTCCGTCTCAAAAAGAATTAAATAAATAAAGTGAGAGATGTGCAACTCTTTGTTTACTTGAACACTTCGTGGACACTGTAGGGTTATTAACTGACCTGATTTTAATATTGTCGTATTGCAGGGAATAGGAAGGACCTTGGAGAGAGGGAGAGAAATAGGGGAACAGCCAGTCAGTGGAAGGAGCTGGCTGGTGGAGCAATCAGAACACACACATTTGTTGATCAATTTCATCTTCTTATATGGGTGCTGCCCATGGCTCCCCAAAACAATTATAACAGTAACACTGAAGATCACTGATCACAGATCACTGTAACAGCAATAAGATTTGAGATGAACACTATGGAAACTGCTTTTTGCTGAACAGTAAGTTGAATAGTAATCAAAAAACATAGAAAGAATTCAGTTCAAAATGATTGTTTCTTTCTCTACCTGGACTTTAAAAAAAATTAGTTGTCATCTATTATGAGTTTATTTGTCTATGTACACAGGTATCAATGTCTAAAAAATTCATGACTTTAAATGTCCACTGATGAGGCAGGTGGAAGATAAAGATGAATTCTGAACTGTTAAAAAATGAAAAAGAAATGGCCACAGCCACCCTGCGATGATGGTTAATTTCAGGTGTCAACTTGACTGGATTAAGGAAATATAGAAACCTCTAAAAGTGTTATTTTGGGATGTGTCTGTAAGGGTTTTTCTAGAGGAGAGTGGAAGAGATGGGGAAGATCCACCCTTCATATAGGCAGGCACCATCCAATGTTCCAGGGGCCTGGAGAAATCAAAACAGAAAAGGCAGATGTTATGCTGTCTGCTGGAGCTGAAATACACTCTTCCTCTCCTATCCTTGGACAACAACTTCAGGCTCTCCAGTCTTTGGACTCAAGGATTAAAACTAGTGGCCTCCCCTGTTCTCAGGCCTCTGACTTCATCTGGAGAGTTACATCATCCACTTCCCTGGTTCTGAGGTCTGTAGACTTGGACTGAGCCATGCTACCAGCATCTCAGAGTCTCCAGGTTGAAGTCAGCCTATTGTGGGACTTCTTAGCATCCATAATCATGTAAACCAATATTCCTAATAAATCCCGTCTCATTTATTTATCTACCCTATTGGTTCTATCTCTGAAGAACCGCAACGAATATATGTGCTAAACTTCAGCAGCAACCACCCTGATCAGTCAGCAGCCATCAGTGTTAAGACCCTTTACCAGCAATATTATGACTTGCTGAAGACTTGATTATCTTTAGCATTTTTAGCATTAAAGTATTTTTAAAGTATGTACATTTTTAGACATAATGCTATTGTACACTTAATAGACTACAGTATAGTATAAACATAACTTTTATATGCACTAGGAAACAAAAATGTCCATATGACTGACTTTATTGCAATATTAGCTTCATTGCAGTGGTCTGGAACCAAGCCTATATGAAATTCTTAATACCAGGAATAGGACTTATTGATAAAGGAAAGTGTGGGATATGGGGCA